AAAAACAATTTATTTTTAATTGCCTCAATATAGATCCAGATATTTATAGATATACATATTAGTATTCCATAATATTTAAATAAATATTTTTACATTTGACAAAATGAAATGAATTCAGCTGCTCGAGTATTTCACGAAACTAGTTTCAGTTGAGCCCAAAATAATACGATTTAATATTGATAAAAAAAAAAAAATAGATGAAGCTCGAGATTTTGGAGCTGCCTCTCGAAAGGGCCAACCGGCTAGCCAGCGAGCCCCCTCAGAGACAAGCGAGATTTGGCACATCTATATCGATATAATCAATTCAAATATATGTGTGTAATTTTATGGCACAGAAAGTAGAATTTTAAAATATTCTAAGGCGACGATCAGACGATCAGATCGACTCTAGAGCTGGTAAACTCTCTATGAAGGAACTTACCTATGGACAGGGGTATCATGGGCTTCTGTGGATTGGGCTTGATCTGCAGCGCCTCGACAATGTTGCGAATGCGATTGTGTGTGTTGAGGGACAGAGACGAGCCCTTGATCCGCCACTCAGTGCGATGCTGGCCATCATCTTCTAACTTCTGCAGGTGCAGCTCCTGGACGAGCGACTCGTTAATGACTGCGACTCCGCTGCTGGGAGCTGCTGCCGGAGAGTTGGCGTGGCTGCTGCGGCGGCTTTCAAACTTGTGATCTTTGCTGGTAGCAGTGCTAAGCATTATCACCAGAGCAGGGTATGAACGATTTTTGGCACAGAAAAAAACAAAAAACAAAAATACAAAAACAACCAAAAGCCCAAAGGAATGTCGAGAATTGAAACCAATTTGAGGCAGTTGCCGGACACGCGCTTATGGCTTCTCGGCGGGGCGGGACAGTTCAGTATTCAAATGAATGTAAAATTGGAATCCTGATTTTCATTCCACACAAGCATTGGTGATGCAATCTCGATGATGGGTCTCTGGTCTGTGGTTGGGATGCGTTGGCGTATCGTATTAGGTCGATGCGAATTCTGGTCTAAATCAAAACTGATTTACTCGGCTGATCTCTTGGTGCTTTTATCGGCTCTGGCTGCGCCGCTTGGCCGCTTTAATATATACGCGATATATATGTACGATTTTCTAAGACATACATATATACATACATACATACATACATTCATACATACGTATATATGTACGGCACCGCACGCGCTTCGGCCGGGCCCGAGCCGAAGAACAACAACAGCTGCAACTTCGGCTTCGGCTGCTGCTCGGGCCCATCCACTGATTTGAATACTGTTGTGGATCGGTCGATCGATCGATYGCTCGGTCGAGACGACAAAAATAAGTAAATAATAAATATACATACGAACATACTTTTGCATATAAACAATATGTAGATTTTGTATAAAGCCTGATTCGACTTGGGACAAGATTATTTAGTTAAAAAACAAAACAACAACAACAACATAACAACCACATTGTCTCATTTGCAAAATGCCTAAAGTTTTATCTCTTGATAACCAACAACAGTTTGATTACAACCATATCAGTTGGTAATATTTTAGTTTGATCCCAGATACACCCAATCCGTTGTACTATATATATACTATATATATTTCTCCTAAAAATATATCCCATTGAATTGGATTATAAACTGAAACGCAGTTTGCTAATCAGGCTACGGATATTCCGCATAAATGCATATGCATGTGGTCTATTAGGCGATCTATTATGACGCCTGCTGCCAATGGGAAAATGGAAATCGCGAAGACGACGCAATATCTGGGAGCTCAGAGCTCCGTGCAAACAAACAGTTTACGGCTAGTTATTACGGCAAAAAAATAAAAATAAAAACGAAAGAGAGCGAGAGAGCCAGACAGACAGAGAGAGAGAGAGAGAGCGAGAGAGAGAGAGAGAGTAGCCGACCTGGACCGCTATTCCGGTCAGGTTTGTAACTTACATACATTTTACATAAATTTGTTGTTGTTGTTGCTGCTGCGCGCACTTGGCTTAGTCACAGTTACTATCCACTATATTTAACCATATGCTAAATTATGTCAGCGGGCCAGATGAGAAGGCCCAAGACCAAATACTGGTTCGATTGATTCCGCTCTGAGCGAGCCTCCTGCTTACCTTCCTCTGCGAAAAATTCAAAAAAAAAAAAAAAAAAA